GGTATGTCGGCGCGCGGGTGGGCGCGGCGCGGTCCAAAGGGTCAACACATTGCAGACGTATGATGTATGGGGTGACGGGGTCATTTGAGGGTTATCCTAATTCGATTCGGTTAGCAGGAGTTGCTTCTCGCGACGAAGACTGGGGTGGTGGCGGGGAATGGCAGAGTGTCAGGTCAAGGCGCGGCTCGGCGCTCAAAATGGGACATTCTCGCGCGAGCGGGAACGGGGGCGAGTGGGGATGGAGTAAAAAAAGGCCTGGCATGGAAGTGGTGAAAGTTATGAATGGGCGGGTTGCGGGGGGGGGGGGGGGGGGGGGGGGCAGAGGCGGGGCATGTCACGTGTCGCAGAGAGCAGGGGGGAGGGGGTGAGGTGGAGGCGGAGCAGTCGCACACTGCTCTTGAGGCTGCAAGAGTGGGAAGGGGGGGAGCAGCATGGGCAACGCATCGTCGTCTGGGGCGGCGAATGAGGACATGGTGTTCTCTGCCGAGTTCTCGGACAAGGGCCTGGGCATGGACAAGTTCGACTTTCTGCGGCCGATTGCTCACGGCGGCTTTGGCGAGGTCTTCCTCACCCGAGACCGGTCGACGGGCAAGGTGTACGCCATCAAGGTCATGGACAAGGCGCATGTGGTCAAGCACGGCATGGTGGACCAAGCCATGGCTGAGAAGGCCATTCAGCTACAGATTGGCGAGTCGCCGTTCATCGTCAACCTGCGAGCCGCGTTCCAGACTGCCGACAAGCTGTGCATCGGTAGGTGGGAGGTTGTGGAGGCGACGGGGTTGAGGGAGGGAAGGGAGGCTGACTCATGAATGGGATGATGAGGGGATACAGTCATGGACTATGTGTCGGGCGGCGATCTGTTCGAGCTGCTCAAGACGACGGGCCAGTTTGATGAAGCGCGGGCGAGGCTGTATGCGGCCGAGGTCTGCTGCGCGCTCGAGTACTTGCACTCGCGCAAGATCCTGTACCGCGATCTAAAGCTAGAGAACGTGCTGCTGGACGACTCGGGTCACATCCTGCTGTGCGACTTTGGACTCGCCAAGGAGCTGCGGCAGGACGCGGGAGCAGGGGTGTCTGCGGCGTCTGTGCTGGAGACTGTGTTTTGCGGGACGAAGGAGTACATGGCGCCGGAGATGCTTGGTCCCAAGTCTGCGTACGGGTTCGAAGTCGACTGGTGGGCATTTGGAGTCTTTCTCTACGCAATGGTGACCGGCAAGTACCCGTTCTACGCGCGGACGCTGCCCAAGCTGGAGACCAAGATCCTCAATGACGCAGTGTGGTTCCCGCCGCACATGAGCGCGGCGTGCCGGTCGCTCATCGAAGGCCTTCTAGCCAAGGATCCGAGCCAGCGGCTGGGTCTTGCGGGCATCAAAGCACATCCTTTCTTTGCTGACCTCGATTGGGAGCGGGTGGCGGCCAAAGAGTACGAACCGCTTTTCCTGCCCGAGATCGACGAGATGGTGATGGCGCTGCAGGCCGAGGCGGCGGCGGCAGCCGGGAGCGCCGCGGCAAGCAGTGGCGGCGAGACTGGGCCGAGCGACGAGGTGGCGTCGTGGGTTGTCAACTCGCCTTCGATGGCGTCGCTGGACTCGGACGACAATGCGCTGCGCGAGCGGCGCGCGCGCGAGACTGCACGGTCCGAGGCAGCCGTTCAAGAGTGCCGCAAGATCTTGCCCGACGAGCCGTTTATCGCGGGTTGGGTCATCATCTCGATCAACAAGTGGAACTTTGAGCAGACGCGGGTACTCCTCCTCACATCCAAGGCGATGTACCGAGTCAAGTACGACTTTAACTCGGGCTCGGCTGAGCGCGGATTTGACCATGCAGCGCGGACGCCGCTCTCAGACATCATGACGGTTCAGCGCGGGCGAATGCACGACTCGCGGTTCGCGTCGATCACCGACGCGCTCAACAAGCCGCCGACGCTCTACGCCATGCGGCTTGTGTCGTTGAGCGAGAACTTGCGGCGGACAACCAAGGCGCGTACGTTCTGCCCGTTCATGACGCCGACGGGTTCAGTCGAGGCCGACCTAGCGGAACAAGCCGAGCTCACCGACACCATCTTGGGCACGATCCTGGCGGCGCGCGAGAACCTGCTCGGCACCGCCGAAGCTGCGCTTATTCCCATCGAGGTCTCGCTCCACCGCGAGACGCTCTCGGCACCGCGGGTCAAGGACGTCGTCCAAGTCCGTGAGACGGCGGCTGCTGCGACTATGGGCCGCGTTGCGGCGTCGGCCGATGCGCCAACCCGGCTCCGCGAACTCGCTACTGTCCTTGCCGAAGTCAACTCGCAGATCGCCGACACCACCCAGCTCCTCGCGCAGCTCCACAATCAGCGCGACTCGATCAAGGCCGAGCTCGACGAGCTGCAGGAGGGACTTGGCAAGACTGCAGACGGGGAGGCGGTGCCTCCTGAGGTTGACGAGATTGAGGGATAAAGGAGAGTTGCTGCACCACCCTGTCACCTGCGAGCAAACGAGTATTTTGCCGTGTCCGTTTGTGAAGTGCCAATGAAGAAGAGGCCGAGCAATTGGACTCCGGGGGGGGGGGGCGACTGGGGCTCAGGCCGGGAAGGGCGTGAGAGCCACTTGTCCCCCGTCGCAGAGAGCCACAATGAGCGGCAAGCGGCGCAAGCCGACACGGTCGGAAATGCTGGCCATGAGCTCTGGAGGAGGAGGCGAGGAAGGAAGCGGTGGCGCGGGTGTGGCGGCTGGTGGCCAGGTCGGGTCTCCCGGCGGCAGGCCGTTGGTTGGCGGCTCGGTCGCAGCAAGCGCGGCTCCGGGGAGCGGGTACGGGCCTGGGGCCGGGGCGCTGGGCGCGGCTCCGCCGCCGATGGCTATGGCTCCTGCGCCTGGGACGGGCCCTCTGGCGGTGTCTTCACCGTACGGCCCGCCGGGCGGCCCGGGCTACGGCC